TAAGGTTATGGAGAGGACTGTGTTGTTGCTTCACTTGGTGCCGAATTTGAGGTCGGATGATGATGATAATTATATGGGATTCGACGAAGATGCTTTTCTTAGGGAAGATGAAAGTGTAGATAGTACAGGAGTAGCTAGTATAGTTGATGTCTATGTCAAAAGGGGGAAGGGCCTGCGTGTTCATGAGCTTGCCTGCCTGGCTTTTTGTCGAGCGCTTGATTTGATTCCATTCCTGTTGGGGTAAGATATATTACATTTTCATTTATAGCAATTTTTTTTTTTTTTGGCTGGGACTTCTTTCGGCTCTGTCTCTGAAGAATGTGACTAATATGCTTTTGTTACAATGTCAACATGAGCCTTTTAATATTGTTTTGGGGCTAAATAAGGCAAATGGGGCCAGATATTGACATAGAGGTATAGCAGGAGTTGTGTGTAAAGTGTAAACTGGGTTTACATTTTCTCAAATTGGAGAGTAAGTTATGAAGATAATATAATTTTGTTGCTTATTATGTGGTCCATCTCTTTTGAAATGGTTGATCGCTCATTAATTTTCTCCAATTCTATTTGGTCCTTTTCGGTTTACAATCTTTTATATCATTGGCGCTAAGTATTACATTCTCTCTTGCTTCACTGCAGGGATATTTTAAATTATTTTAAAGTCGCTCCTGCTCCATTCGAACGGATTATGCAGCATCAATCAGTTGCCGAGGCATTAGCTATGGTACCCTGCTGACTGAAATTCTCTGCCTCCTTCTTCTTTTTTTTTTTTTTTTATTCCCTTATCTTTTCTCCTGCTTCTCTTTAGTGATAACTTCTGTTTGAGAAGTTGTGTTGTCTTTATCAGTTCACATATCTGATGACTGCAATTTGCTTCTCCGCTGTTGTGGGCGATCTGATACTTCTAGTGATATTGCTAAAATAAACATGAGAAAAATTTAAGCATGAGAAGTTGTGTTGTCTTCATCAGTTCACATATTGCTTCTCCGCTGTTGTGGGGTGATCTGATATTTCTAGTGATATTGCTACAAAAGCATGAGAAAAGTTTAAGGGAACATAAACTTTATTCTCAATTATGCCAAATGATAACAGACTTTGGTCGATCATTTTGGTAATGTAGATGTTTGCTTCAACCCTTTTTATGTATACATTCATGCTATTACTGTTATATCTAGTTTCATGATTGGAGGAGCAATCACTGATGCCTGTTCTTTTATGTAAATGGGTGGGTGGGGTTGTGCTTGGGGTTTTAGGACATCAATGTTTATATGAGTGCATATCTGACTACTGAACACACACGACGAATATGACTGAGAAAGTGAACTTGCTGTATTTTCTTCCAATAAATTATTAACGCTTACTTATTTTGTAGGGACCACATCACTTGTTAAATGTTGTCCGGGCATCTTATCGTTTTCTCACTTTAGAGCCGGAAATTTTCACTACATTGTGGGATTGGTCTTGTATTTTGAACCTCATTCAGCAATCCAGAGATTTTACCACAAATGATGCTGGTCTAAGGAATATTATGAGTGACCTCAGATGGTGCAGCATGGGTATTTTATCAGTGGTTTTGAAGTTAAGTTTTAAAGCATCTTCAAACGTTGATCTCGACTCTGAAGAAGCTTTTCAGAGTTTTCTGCGGTAAACTCAAATTTTATGATGACCTGTGGATTTTATCTCTTGGCAATAAATCTGTATGTTAATGATTCAGTTTGGAGTTTTACATGCCACGACACTAGCAGTAGCTCTTATAAATTATTGTCATTATACTTGCATCTAAAGATCAGGAAATTAGTAGTTATGGATAGAAATGTGATTGAATGAAAAAAGAAAAAACCTTACTAGTGAGAAGAAACTTTTTCATTTTAAAATTCACAACAGGCTTATTGTTTTGGTTCAGAAAATTATCAACATTTACTTGTTTATTATTTACTATAGTATTGATTGATTGTTTATTTCTTCTCTCCCCTCCCCCCCTCCCCTTTTAACTGTATATCTGCTGCATTTTTTCATTGTTGCAGCTGGCAAGAATTTTGTATGGATGTTTCTTTGGAGAAAGGGGGTTGGTATCTTGAGTCTTCTGTAGAAGAAGCTGAATCAATGGTTGGAAGAAAAGGCGGCTCTTCACAGCTTAGTTCTTTATCCTCGGTCTTTTCATTGGCTAATAGGACTGCCCAATCAAATCAGATTGACATGCTGGTTACAGGGTAGGATTTGTATGTTTATATAAGAAATCGTTTATTAGAGGTCTTCTATATATTTTTTTCTCGCTTGGTTCCTGGAGAAATAGATTATTGTATATCCAATGTGTCCGTATTTTGAGGGGTTCATGCTAACCTGAGATAAATGAGTTTCAAGGGGTCCATTCTTCTGTATATAATCAGATTTTTGGAGTAGCTTGTTGAAGTGTTTTTTCCATGGTCCTCTCAACTGTAATCTGTTATGATAGTTACTCAGAAAAATTGTTCCATTTTTTGCCAGCCTCTCACTCGTAAAGTGCTTTTGACATTCTGGACTGTCTTGTTTTCTTGCAGGAACCCTGAACCTCCATTTGTTTTGACATCCGCTATGACAAAAAGTTTTGAGATGGTCTCTTTAGCTGTAAATCAAAGGTGGCCTGTACTTCTATATGGTCCTGCTGGTTGTGGTAAAACTGTTCTTATTAACAAATTGGCACATGGTTATGGTAGCAGAGGTACGTCTTCTGGTCATTCTGTTAATATTTGCCTATAATTTACATTGAATTACGAATGTGTACATATCTCAGTATCAGATATCTATATTTTGCATGGAGTGGTATTTGAGGTTTACAAACATGAATGTACATGTACATTCATGAGAAGGAGATCTCTGTAGTTGTTTATTTCCTTTCTATAAAAGATGCATATTTTTCTTTTTTAAATATTAAATATTATTTTTTATTTAATTTAATTTAAACTCTTTTGGTGCTTCTCTACTTATTCCTTGTCTCCCTGAATGCCATATAGTTTTGTCCATTCACATGGATGAGCAGATAGATGGGAAAACACTGCTTGGAAGTTATGTTTGTGCGGAGCAACCTGGTGAATTCAGATGGCAACCTGGTTCTCTTACTCAGGTTCGAAGCCAGTTTATGTTGTACAAAATTTAGAATAAGCTGCCATGCTTTCTTGTTGTAACATCTGTAATTATCAATTGGCAGGCTGTTCTGAATGGTTTTTGGGTAGTCTTCGAGGATATTGATAAAGCACCATCTGACATTATGGCAATCTTATTGCCATTGTTGGAGGGTGCAATTACATTCTCCACAGGCCATGGGGAGGTATACATTTGCTATCTTATTACGATTTTCATCTGGCTATTTTTATTGATGCATTGTCAAAGCTTCCTACGACATTATCATGCTTTATAATTTTCTTTTTGCAGGCAGTAAGAGTGAATGAGAGTTTTCGGCTTTTTTCTACTGTGACCAGATTGAATTCCGACGCATCTCGTTTTACTGAAGGTTTGCTTAATTGGTTTGTGTTCTTTTATAGCCAGCCGTTTGATTTAATCTAATTGATTTAATGTTTGCACCTTCC